TCATCAAAAAAAAATCATCATCATCATCATCATCATCAAGGGAGGGAGGAAGAGTGACAAACGGGGGAGGGGAGGGGGGACTCTCGTTGTAGGTAAAACAGATAATGAAAGGCAGACGAACAATGGGAATGTGACAAGTAAGCTATAAAATGTCGGAGGTTGCTGTGGCATTGATTTTGTCTAGACACTGTAAACAAATAACACTCACTCACACATACAGCCCCAGGGCAAAACAATAATGCTTTCCAGGCAAGTTACGTGATGTAAAGAATTTTGTGTTAATTTTTAAAATTTGTGACTTTGTTTTAGGTGCTTCCTTGTCATTTGTTTTTCTCTGCACACTGCTAGTTACAAGGGAAAACTACACCATTTACGGTTTAACACTCTCTCCCCCCACCCCCAAACAAAACAAAACACAGCAACAACAAACAAACAAAACCCCCTTCCAAAAAATACAAAACAAACAAAAACAATAACAACAAAAACAGCAACAACAACAACCCACAAACCCAACAACAACAAAAATCCTAAAAAACAACAAAACTAACCAAAAAAGCCCAACAAAAACAAAACAACAACCAACAGCAACAGCCTCTCGAATAATTTGAGTGCTTTTACATCCCCATTGACACACTTTAGATCATTGAGAAGGTCAGGTGAGCTTCGACCATGCCTCTCAAAGCCGACCCGAGCTAAGAGGGATTCAACTTCTCAGCAGAAAGATGGAGATACTTGACAAAACCATTCTCAACGCTGGGGAATTGAAGTCGAGTTTTCTGTCTGTGACTGTGAAACTCTTGACAAACGCCGCTCACTTACCAGAGCGTGGGACGTGACCCATGCTGTTGGTATAAATACTTATTATTGCGGTTGAAGAAAAAGAAAGGCTGGGCGTGTTGGGTAGGTGGTGTGCATGGTTTGGAAAAAAAAAGACCGGAAGGGGGTGGGGGTGGGGCGTAATGTCCTTTGGTTGCAAACTGATCTGTTCTGCAACTATGACAACCATATCAACAATAACAACAACAACAACAAAAACAAACAACAAGAACAACAAAAACAACAAGAACAACAAAAACAACAAAAACAACAAAGACATCAACAACAATGACAACAGAAAAGCAACAGCAGACACATCAGTAATAACAACACCACAAAAACAGTAATAACATAAACAACAAAAATAATAATAACATAAACAACAACAAAAACAACAGCAACAACAACAACAACATCAACAACAGCAGCAACAATGCAAAAGCAGTAACAACAACCACAACCACAACAACATCAACAATCACAACAATAATAACAACAATAACAACATCAACAACAAAAACAACAACAACAACAGCAACAACAACAAAGTCAAAAGCAGCGATGACAAATGCATGAAACTTCAGGACTTCCACACCACCAATTTGCTAAAACATGACTATTGCCACATACGTTTCGATTGATCAAAAACAGACTCTGACTGAGACATTAAGAACCCTTATTTGCCCGGTTGGATTGCACAATAAGTACAAGTACTACCAACAATCATATGAGATTCTTTTCTCTCTCCTTTCAGAGAAACTTATAGAGAACAGACTCATCATCATGACATCGTTGCAATGGCCTAGAGGCGTGTCCCCATTGCAGTAGAGGAATAACACCCCGCCATCAACACTTCAGCAAGAATCGATGGCATGAGTTGCTTGTTTTTCGTGTATAAGTGACAGACTCACAGACGCACGGACACACAAACGTTACAGACACACAGACACACTGACGTACAGAAAACGATGCCGGAGCACCGGATGTCGCTATCCACATGGACGCATTTGCTCCGAGACTATAACAAGATGGCGAGAAAACTTTCCGGATGACGTAATCAGTTCACGACACAGCAGCAGCAGCAGCAGCAGCAGCAGCAGCAGCAGCAGCAGCAGCAGCAGGCATGACCCGGGATACCTATGATGTCACAGTGCGGAGGGCCAGTCAGCTGTCCCAGAAGCTGGAGCTGTTCCGTTCTTCGTCCACACCGCGCCGGCCATCGCAGGTATGTTATTTCACAGCAGCAGCAGCAGCTGCAACAACAACAATAATATTATCAGCATAAACAGCAACAACATCAACAACAATAATACCAGAAGCAATAGCAACGACAACAACAATAACAACACCAACAAAAATTACAGCAACAACTGTATCAGCAAGAACAATAATGATAGCAACAACATCATCATCATCATCATCATCATCATCATCATCATCATCATCATCATCATCATCATCATCAATAACAACAACAACAACAACAACAACAACAACAACAACAACAACACCAACAATAACTTTAAAAAAACCCAGCTCACAACAGCATGGGGGACATTTATCTGACATTTCTGAATTTTGTGTTGAAGAAGAACCATGATAGAATGTATAGAATCGGTTTCTCAAGAAGTCCTTTAGAATGAACCAAGAAGTTCATCTTTATCGAAAACGATATGTCTTAAAATGAAGAAAGATGAGCCATTACACAATGGTGATTTAAAAGGATACTGCTCAAACATTACTCTTACCATTCTTTTTTTTCTAAACAGAAAATAGTGTCTTTTAGAACGTTTGCCTTGTAATGGGAGTTTTCAAAGTCACACAACATCAATTTATGTGTATTTTTTTTTTGTTTTGGTAAAGTGTTTTACGGCGCTCGCAATTGCATAAGGTCATATGAGCGGGCGGCATACACCTAATATTTTCAGTTGGTAGGAAATTTTGAATTTTGTCCGGGTGGCGGCCGAAGCCTACTCTTATCGATTTTAGGCCACCAAGGGATCTTTAACG